TCATTTGCTGTTTCAGATAATAAAGTAAATTCAGCTTCAGCAGTAGACACTGCAACTGTTGTCTGCTTTTTAGATCTCCAATAAATTTGGAGCATTTCCATACTGTATTATATACCCACTAACAGATTTTCTGTCACTTTCTTCAACAAATGAGCTGTCCACATATACTGTAAGCTCTTTTTCCGGGAAAACAAACAATAATCTAATTAATCTTTTTAACCCTTGCCAATCTTTTACCATTGACTTCGACTGTGTCCTATTCAACAAGCCTACTGTATATGCTATAGCGGGATGTGTCCAATTTCCTATATGTAACAGACTCCCTATAAAATAGTGATATAACTTCACATCTTTTAGTTCTTCCATGATTTTTTGCTTTAAAAAATCTCCTGTTAATAGAATTTGCATGGTGTTTGCATTTTGCAACCCTGCTTTTGCTTTCATGTCCATTTTTTTTCTTTGACTAAGGGACATATCCCCTTCTTGGCTAATTACTTCGATTCCTAGGTATTGTTTTAAGCACACTAAATCCTTCAGCCTAAAATGCTTACCAAGATCTGCACATATGATTTGTATTTATATTTGTGAGTATACTAAGATCATCAACATAAATCATATATTTTTCCCTCCTTGTGTATAAGCACAAGCATCTGCTATGCTATGCTTGAAGTTCAGTTTATTTAATACTTCTTGGATACATTCATTCCACCTATGGGCTGACTATTTTAAATCTTATAAATCCATATATAAGCTTTGCTTGGCTGATTTTCATACCCTGGTTCTTGTTTCGTAGACATTTCCCCATTAATACTGGCAAGAAGACACACAATCCCAAAATCAAAATTTCTGGCACCATTTAAAATCTAATTTGGTTACCTTTTTTTTAATTTTTGGAGATAACTCAAATTCACATGCCCAAAAACTATGTAAATAATGAATACAATCATTATGCATTGGATTGTTATTCATGCAAGAAACATTTGACCAATAATCTTAGTTATTTATTGCATATACTTTGTTTACCAGTTTACCTTTGGCACGTATTTTGTTTTCTTTCCCAACAGTCTACCCACTGTCACTCAGCTCAATTTCACGCCTTTCTAGTCATAGACTGGATGCACTCAGTAATCAATAGTCAGGTTTATCGATGAACACAATATTGTCCAAATACTTTCCCAAACTGGGAACAAATGCTGATGCCATTATCTGGTATTCAGCCAGCAATCTGTCCGCCAAGGCAACGTGTTGGATCTCTTGATTTTCTGGTGTATTAAAAAATAAGGCTGTTAACTGTGTGTTCTGCACACCCAGAGTCAAGCAGCCACGTAGCCTCACCATATTCAGCCTTGGTTAACATAGTCATTACACTGGCATCCATTCTTCCCCTAGCATTTCTATCATACCACCTGGGGTTCCTTCCTCTTCATTTCTTCTATCTTCTTTTTCTTTGGATAGTTTTTAATAAGATTATTAATATTACCACATCTGTAACACTTTCTCACCTTACAGCAGGATTCTTCCTGCATTCTACACCTTAACAAGGGATATTATTTTGTTCAGTACTTGTTCCTTTAAGGAACTGTTTTCTTTCTTCTTCAAGCTGCCTTGCAGAAACCAAGTCCAAAGTCGGTTGTGCTTCAGGCACACTCTACCTACTAAAAACAAAACTGTCCCAAGTGGAGTCCAACAAAGATAACAAAAGAAGAGCTTTGTGGTTTTCTGTGAATACCACCTGTCTATTTTTAAGCTCTATGAACAGGTGTCTTGTTAATTTTTACACAGGTTCCATTATGCTCTCATCCTTCTTGAGTTTTAAATGGTAAAGTTGCAGAGTCAAGATAATTTTATTTCAGAAGTTTCCGTTTGATAAACTTCCTTTAATTTCTGCCAACAATCTGCTGTAGACACAGCTTCTCTTATGTACACTACTGGGCATCTTCTATGGCAAGAATTGTTGTGGCTGTTGCCTTTTGATCTTGTCTCTTTCTGCACTCACAGCCACTGTCGGCAGAGTTTCTACAATGGACCATAAATCTTCTCTGACAAGAAAATTATTTAATTTAACATTCCAAGCCATATAATTTTCAGCGTTCAAATGCTCAAACAGCAAGCTGGATATGTGCTGTGCCATGGCTGCTTTTTATTTTCTACTAAGCAGAAAAACCAGTCGATAGGAAGAGGGAGATAGAGGCAATCATCCTCTGCCATTATAGCAAAAGAATTTCTCTTTTAGATTCTGGCTTCATTACAGTTAGTCTCTTACAGCTGTCTTGACTTGAACTTTGTATTCAGCTTCTCTGTCATCTGGTTTTCCAACTTGGATTATCCGACTACCATTATCTTGTATTTTTTACCTTGGTCTGTTTCAACTGCTTTGGTCAGTTTTGTCCTGGTCTTAACAACTTGAATATGTCCTTCACCACATTCTTCAGAAAATGTGTGATTTGGGAGTAAAATCACACAGAGAGATGGTCATAAGTACTTTATTTGTTTGGGCGAGGCCTAAACAGTAAGTGTATGAGAAATTCCCTTTTTATCTAAGGCAGCCCTTGAGACTGATAAGATCAGGCCCATCCCTTCGGGGGCACTGTTTGAGCTTTGGCCAGTGGTCATAAACAGAGTCATGGAGCCCCCGGTGGCGCAGTGGGTTAAACCCTTGTGCCGGCAGGATTGAAGACCGACAGGTCGCAAGTTCGAATCCGGGAAGAGGCGGATGAGCTCCCTCTATCAGCTCCAGCTCCTCATGCGAGGACATGAGAGAAGCCTCCCACAAGGATGATAAAAACATCAAAATCATCCAGGCATCCCCTTGGCAACGTCCTTGCAGACGGCCAATTCTCTCATACCAGAAGTGACTTGCAGTTTCTCAAGTTGCTCCTGACACGACAAAAAAAATAAAATAACAGAGTCCCAGGAGCACATAAATTTAAACTTTGAATATTGCAATTCAAAGTGCTCTAGGCCTTAAAGGAGATCATCAGGACTGTAGTGCAAGTTGTGATAGACAACTCAGCAGCTATGTAATTTGTGAAGAAGCAGGGCAGATTACTGGATTTAACAATCAGGATCTAGGAATGATGCTTGCAGTGCAAGGTCTTTTCAGTGAGAATCCTCCTGCTACGAATAAGGATCATCTGGCCAACACCCTGAGCATGACCTTGAGCTCATGTCACAAATAGCAGCTCCATACAGATGCCCTTTACCCTTTGCTCAACACTGTGAGGAACCCAAGATCTATTTGCTTCTGATGAATCCTCAATGTCTCAAGTTTTCTACTTGGATTTAAACGATGACACCTGTCTCGTGGACACATTGTCCTTCTGTCTGAAGATCGATACCACCAATTCTAGTATCGGACAGATCTTTTCATCATATATCGAGGTCAACATCAAAACATCAAATCACTGCACTTAATGGATCAGAGACTGAGACAGCTCTCAGAACTGAATCGTTCAATCTAATTTTAAAAGATTGAGAAACATACGTGAGGGCTGTTTTTTCTTATTGTTTTCTGGATGTTTGTATCTCTGTACTACTTCATAATAATGGGAATGCATATAAGTCATAAGAAGAAAGTATCACATTTCCTTTTTAAAGCATTCTTCAAGTAGTTCTCTTGTAGTAAATGTTGTGGAGGTGAGATAAGAGAAGTAAATAGTTTCTATTCCAACTAATAAGGTATATTTTTCTACTCAGCTACTTTTGCCCCCCCCCCCTCAAATGCAATTACCAAATTTGTGTGGGTGCTTACAAAATCAACTAATTTCTGGTCTCCCTCCCAGATGATCACAAAACTATTGTCATAGTTTTTTTTTCAAGCAGAAGCCACAGGAAAACTAACAGGAAAACAAATTAATACTGCCAATCATATTTAATCAAATGTGTAGCACCAGTGATTACATTTCTAAGAATTGCCTTACTGTATATAGATGATTGACCCTCATTGCTTTTTCCACATACAAAGTAAAAGTAGATCCTAACTTTGTCCTAACAATGCTGACATACTTGAATCTTCACATCAATCTAGAGAATGTTCATCTTAAACCAATAGAAGCTATTTGAATAATTTGATCTCAGTTCAGTTCCAGCACACACAACTTAAAGAAAACCCCAAGTGTTCAACTAACTAAAAAGTAAGTAGGACTTAGACAGGAATGTCATATGGGCCAGCCAGAAGTCTCTCAGGGCTCTTGAATCTATCTTGGGGAGATCCTATCAATAAAACTCCTAGCTCTGTATATGTCAGTTAGCATAAACATAAATAAACCATACATCTAGCAACTTGGTTCTGGATGATATGTTTGCAACAGCCCTTAATTGTTATTCTGGCCACAAAGTCTTGACTGACTGGGCTATATTCTAGAAGCCCTTTAGAACCTATTCAAAACCACAGCTGCTTCTGCAGTGGATTTAAAAAGAATCCAGATAGCCAAATAGAATTTCTGTTCCTTAATCCCATCTTCCACCAGAAGAATTCAGTGAATTATTGCTTGGGCATAATATTTTCCTGTCTCAATTTTCTCTCTCTCAAAGTACTTCAGACATTTCAGAATATATCACATTCTATAGCTGTGGGGCTTGCACCCCTGTTTTGTTTCTCCTTCCTGATCTTGCAATACTCATTCTGAATTGGAAATTGTACAGAATTTATTTTAAGTGAAAAATATGCTTTTAATTTCCAAAATACTAGAACCCCATCTTGCTAAAACATGCAAGTTTTATATGCTTGAAATTTGAAAACACACATATCATTACCCCAGTGATTAGCAGCCATCGTTTGCATTTTCAATTTTAGAATATAATTACTTCTTCAATATTCCATCAGTTATGATTTTGTGGCCTATAATGTAAATGAGTGATGTCTTTCATTTTTGAACAAACAAGTTTCATTTATTTCTTCTGGATAGGCAATTATACTGATTTTAACCGAATTGATACATCCATAGGAGTAAGTATAAAGACTTACTTCAATAAGGTAAAATGTTTGATCTTTTTTACAGAAGATAAAGAGGAAGAAAAAGAAAAGGAACTGAACAAGGTGGAAGAAAAAGAACAAAATGAGGAAGGAAATCTCACAGAAAGAAGTATGTGTGGCAAAAATTCGCAAATCACATTCTTGAAGAAAATATACAATTTTGAAAGTACTGAATGTCAGTTAAATCTTCAGCAAAATGTTGCTATAACAATGCCATTAATAAGAATGTTTCTGTTTGGGACTTTAGCCATCTTAGAATAGAAGCCTTGTAGTGCTAAGTGACTCTTGGTTGGGATCTAAATTGTTGAGCATAGTATCTGAGAACTTAACCTTTACTGAGAGCCGAGAAAGGAATTGACAAAATATTTGGCTTTATCTCATAGCCAAATGCAGACTAGTGGCATCTTCAGTTAAGATATGCCGAGATCTTACTGAGTTATGTCATTTATCTGTGTCTGCATATGTAGAATGCCCATATGCTTCATCAACCCCTGAAATCACTGTTTGGGGTCGGGGTGGGGGGCACTAATATAAGAAAACAGAGTCCTGGAGGAGAACATTGTTTATTATGGAGGTTGAAAGAGAAAACCAACCTTTGCAATGACTAAAAAAAATGCAAGTATAAAATGAACTTTTTATAGTTGCAGGTGACACTAAAAGAATGGCGGCTGTTGTATATGTAGAAATCACTAACTTATTTGGATTTACCCTGTTGTGCTTTTAAATTAATAGTCATTAAACCACTTGTGTTCTTTGAAAATAAGTTTTAAATATTAGATATGTGTGCTGTAGGCATGTGCAATTGATAAAAAAAAGTTTCAAAAGTCATTACAAAATCGAAGGATGCCGGATTTTTGTTTCTAAAGTGTTCCTAAAGTATAGTTAGTAAAATTTTCATTACTATAAATAAGATTAACAACATTTTGTTACTTTTTTTGTTAAGTAATTAGGCAAGTGGGGAAGCTTCAGGGACTCATCGTGATGAAATTTGCTATATTTATACCACACATTTTCCATTCTTAGACCACCGGATTTCAGAACGTTACACTTACCAACTAATTTTTGGGGAGTTGTTGAATTTAAAAAACTACAAGAGTGATCTATTTGAATATTATCTACAGTGCAAAAGATAACCAGGGCATCAATCACTGGAAGTTTCAGAAAGATTCACACAACTACGTATTTTGGGAGATTTAAAAAATTTAGACAAAAACATTTATCCCCCCAAAAAGCCACAACAGCAACCCCCTTGCATGTCTGTCTGTCTATATGACACACAATTAACCACATAAGTTCAACTTAGCACAGTTTTGTACTATTACTTACTTTAATCCTCTTCGCAGATTCAGTAATTTTATTTATTATTAGTCTCGTTCTAAACGACTGGCTGCTGCAGCCCTCATTGAAGCTTCTGATGCTGAGCACTGCATTCTGGGAAATGTGGTTTAGGGAGGGGCATTTTGAATTCTCTGCAAAAGGAGGCTTCATGTTCCCAAACCACCAGAATGCTGTGTTCTCAGTCTCACGCTCAGCTCTGCTAGTCCTGCCCCCAGCCGCCCTTCCTTATGGCAATTGGCAAAAGGACCTTAATTTAAACCAGTGTTTCCCAACCTTTGGGTCTCCGGTGTTGCAACCCAGATCAGGAAACAAGACCATAAGATATTAATCCACCACACTTGACTATAGGAAAAAACAATCCTTTTTTATTGATGAAAAATGGTTACAAAATAGAGGAAAATACAAAGTCCAAAAAGCCACAGTAAAATTCAGCAGTCAGGAATATCTATGAACTAGATCAAAATTCCAAAAGCAACACTATAAAAACCTGGAACCTGTTAGCATTTCACTAACAGTACATGGAAACTAGAAGCCTCTGGGAATGCAGGCCATGGGAACCGGGAAATCTGCCAAGATAATGCCTCAGTCTAAACGATGTTTGATCTAACGAGAGCCTGGGGAGAGACACTTAAAACTAAAGAAACTGTTTCGGGACACGCCTCCAGGCTTTGAAGCCTGTGCCTCCCTTTCCTTTAATCTGCTTGACCTTCGCAAACTCTGCAATTCACTCCTGTTTTTCCAAATCTGTCCTTTTCTATCCTCATTAAAAAAAAAGGCAGGTGCTAGCTCCTCTGGAGAGCTATCACCGCTTGATTCAGAAACATTCCCATCAGGATGCGTAGTTTCACTTTCCAAGCCACTGACCTCAGAATCAACAGTTTCCAAACCATCAGGGACAAATTCATATTCAGTAGCCTGTTCAGTTGCATCAGGAAATACAATCAGAGAATCAGGTTCAGGTTCACACGCAGGCTGAACCCCAACATCCGGGTGTTTTGGACTTCAGTTCCCACAGTTCGTAACAGCTGGTAAGCTGGCTGAGATTTCTGGGAGCTAAAGTCCAAAATACTTGGAGGCCCAAAGGCTGGGAACCACTAATTTAAACACTAGCAATGGCCAAAGTTTTGACCAAAGTTGGTTTATGCTTATACAGAATCTTAACAAAAATGATTGTTTTGATTCTAAAATTTCCCCCTCCCCCTTCGTGCATGTTTCTAATCTTGATTTGTATGTACGAATTAAATTAATTTGATATGACTTATGAGGAGTAACGATACTTTTGCACACCCCTAGTGTGCTGCTGAAGTGTCTTACTGGTTCTGACTACCCAGGTCATTCAAAACCATATGGAAAAGTCATTTTGTATTGTGTACTTTGACTAAGTATCTTTGTGGCAGTAAAGGAGAGAATGGATATGTTGGGACAACGAATTCAGTAGTTGTAGTAGTATCTATTTAAGTTACTATTAGTGTGTCACTTGTTAAATTTTGTCAAATACTTTTTTACTTTTAAAAAACCCCACAAGGTAAATGAAAATAGCACATTTGTCCAACCTGGTACTACTGCTTTCCCCAGCATGTACATTTTTCTTCATGAATCTTTCACTCTTCCTATTTTTTCTAGTTTAATTTTGTTAATCTTATGTATTAAAATTCATAGACTAAGATGTGCTTCTTGTTTTAGTCCTGATTTCTGTTACTCATTTGTCATTGATGTAACTGTTTTTTGGGAAAGAATAATGCCCTGCTTGTCAGTAGGATCTCTTATGTCAATTTGCTATTTTCTTTGTTTCTTTCTAGAATTTATAATGCTGTGATATTTGTGGTATTCTATTTCTAAATTGTAAGCCACTTTCTGAAGACCACATTCTTGAACATATAGCTAAAATTATTTAAATGAAATTAAAATATATACATTTTAGGTGAATTATCAAGAAGAAAGCGTTCCAAGTCAGAGGATATGGATAGTGTCCATTCTAAGCGTTGTCGAAATACAGGGGAGGAATATGAAGCAGAACTTGAAGTAAAAATTACAACGCGAGGAAATGTTCAACAAAATATAGAAAAGGTAGAATTGTTTATCCTCTTCTGTTTTGTATATTTGTATTCATTATGGATTTAACTATAACATGGCCTGTTTTTTTCTTGTTTAGTAATCTGTTTTTCAGAATTATCAGATCACATCACTGCTTTATCATAGTTAAACAACACTACTTTTTAATGTTGCCTGCCAATGATCCAGGTACCCAATGCAATTACACTAATAAGCTTGTAACACATAGAATCATAGTATCATAGAATCAAAGAGTTGGAAGAGACCTCATGGGCCATCCAGTCCAACCCCCTGCCAAGAAGCAGGAATGTTGCATTCAAATCACCCCTGACAGATGGCCATCCAGCCTCTGTTTAAAAGCTTCCAAAGAAGGAGCCTCCACCACACTCCGGGGCAGAGAGTTCCACTGCTGAACGGCTCTCACAGTCAGGAAGTTCTTCCTCATGTTCAGATGGAATCTCCTTCCTTGTAGTTTGAAGCCATTGTTCCGCGTCCTAGTCTCCAGGGAAGCAGAAAACAAGCTTGCTCCCTCCTCCCTGTGGCTTCCTCTCACATATTTATACATGGCTATCATATCTCCTCTCAGCCTTCTCTTCTTCAGTCTAAACATGCCCAGCTCCTTAAGCCGCTCCTCATAGGGCTTGTTCTCCAGACCCTTGATCATTTTAGTCGCCCTCCTCTGGACACATTCCAGCTTGTCAATATCTCTCTTGAATTGTGGTGCCCAGAATTGGACACAATATTCCAGGTGTGGTCTTACCAGAGCAGAATAGAGGGGTAGCATTACTTCCCTAGATCTAGACACTATGCTCCTATTGATGCAGGCCAAAATCCCATTGGCTTTTTTGCCGCCACATCACATTGTTGGCTCATGTTTAACTTGTTGTCCACAAGGACTCCAAGATCTTTTTTCACACATACTGCTCTCGAGCCAGGCGTCCCCCATTTTGTATCTTTGCATTTTGTTTTTCCTGCCAAAGTGGAGTATCTTGCATTTGTCACTGTTGATCATCATTTTGTTCATGTTTAACTTGTTGTCCACGAGGACTCCAAGATCTTTTTCACACGTACTGCTCTCAAGCCAGGCGTCCCCCATTCTGTATCTTTGCATTTTGTTTTTCCTGCCAAAGTGGAGTATCTTGCATTTGTCACTGTTGAACTTCATTTTGTTAGTTTTGGCCCATCTCTCTAATCTGTCAAGATCATTTTGAATCCTGCTCCTGTCCTCTGGAGTATTGGCTATCCCTCCCAATTTGGTGTCGTCTGCAAACTTGATGATCCTGCCTTCTATCCCTTCATCTAAGTCATTAATAAAGATGTTGAACAGGACCGGGCCCAGGACGGAACCCTGCGGCACTCCGCTCGTCACTTCTTCCCAGGATGAAGAGGAAGCATTGGTGAGCACCCTCTGGGTTCGTCCATTTAACCAATTACAGATCCACCTCACCGTAGTTTTGCCTAGCCCACATTGGACTAGTTTCCTTGCCAGAAGGTCATGGGGGACCTTGTCGAAGGCCTTACTGAAATCCAGGTACGCTACATCCACGGCATTCCGCGCATCTACCCAGCTTGTAACTCTATCGAAAAAAGAGATCAGATTAGTCTGGCATGACTTGTTTTTGATAAATCCATGTTGACTATTAGCAATGACCGCATTGGTTTCTAAATGTTTGCAGACCACTTCCTTAACAATCTTTTCCAGAATCTTGCCTGATATCGACGTGAGGCTGACTGGACGGTAGTTGTTTGGGTCATCCTTTTTTCCCTTCTTGAAGATTGGGACCACATTGGCCCTCCTCCAATCTGCTGGAACTTCTCCTGTTCTCCAAGAACTCTCAAAGATGATTGCCAATGGTTCCGAAATGACTTCCGCTAGTTCCTTCAATACTCTTGGGTGTAGTTGATCTGGCCCTGGGGACTTGAACTCATTTAGAGCGGCCAGGTATTCCTGTACGACTTGTTTCCCAATTTGGAGTTGGATGTCCTCAAATCCCTCATCCACTCCGTCTTGCTGAGGCTGAAGATGACTTTCTTTTTTTGAGAAAAAGATCATTCCAGTTTGTCTCAAGAAATGATGATCATTCCAGTTTGTCTCAAGAAATGACAAGCCATGTGGTTAATCAGCAGTGAGGTCCCCAAACAGAGTTATGCAGTAGTGTGGTCTGGATTCAAAAATAAGACATAGTCTCTACCAGTGCCCAAAGAGCTGACTTCTCAAGGACACAGTTTTTTGTGTAGACAGCTAGGGCAACACCAACTGATCTTGAGGTGTGTTGAGCCTCTCATCAAACACTCCTGTTCTACACTCCTGTACTGCTAGCTTCTCTGAGAAGAGGCACAACATCTTACTTAAGGTAGTCAAAGAAGGAAGAAAGCAGGAGTAGGATTATTTTAAAAATAAATCATTTGTAGGTTTGTAAAAGAGCTAAAGTCAACCTTAAAGAGAAGAAAATTGTTTGGGATTTAAACAAGCAGTAAAATAATATTATTTCCTAAAATAATTTTAAAAGGAATTTTATGATTTTAGAAGTCTGTGCTGGTGGTGTTTTTTTTTTTTTTAAAGTAGCTTTTGTTATACATTTTAAATGTGTGAATTGCAGTTAGATATGTGGGAAAGTGAATGAAATGTCATTTTACACATTAATATAGCTAGACAAGATACAAAAATAGGGACAGTATATTCAGCGTGTTTATTAAGTAATCAAAAATACTTTATAAAACAACTTCGTGGATATATTGGGAATGCCTGGAAAAAGGAGGAAGAAATTGTAATAGCATCCTTGACCCTTGCCCTAGGAGAAATGTGCTATAAATGAGATTGTTATAACTAAAATTTCAAAAGTTGATATTGTACTTGAGCTAACATATCATGTCCCAGTTACTACATTAAATTTATTAATTCGTTATTAATTATTCTTAATGCAGAGGGTGCTATTATACAGGGAAATTAACTCAATTTCATTTTAATTCTATGTACCTAATGGTTTTTGAGACATCTGCTTAAAAAGTCATCAGTCTATCCCATTTATTCTTTATTTTACTGCTATTTTATTGATAGAAAAGAAATAAACACAATATACTTATTATGAAGTGAGCAAACATATCATAAAGTGTGTGTGTGTGTGTGTGTGTGTGTACATACACATACACCACCCTACTCATCTAATAGTTCATAAATCTTTGTTAGCCATTATCAAAAGCTCCCTTACTCAGTTTTCCAGAGGGGTCATCAGTAAACAGTTCATCCAGAAGGTCCAACTCTTTTTCTTCACTTCCCTTTCTATGTATATCAGTGTTTTAAAAACCAGTCTCCCTCAAGATAGCCCAGTCATGAATTTACTATCTTACAAAGTCAGCTGTGGCTTTTCTATTCAAATTTTTCAGTTTGACCTCAAGCTAGACCTGTTTCTAAATCTTGTCAACCTCCTTGGTGAAGTCATTAATATTCCAGAAGGGTTTTCTCTAACTTTAATGTCTGCCTCTGAATTCTGGTTCCATGAAGTTCTGTTTTGCATGAATTGGCTCCCTTGTCAGCTTTCCCACAGAGATATGTATTTCTTTTATTTAACTCTTAATTCTTTCCTCAGCAATCTCAATTAATCCAAAATTTGGGTTAATCCATTAAAATCCAATTCTGATGAGGCTGTTTGTTCTCATTTTGAATTAAGTTGTTATAGCTAAACACCAGGTGGCAGAATGTTTTTGCTTCCATGTTGACAGCAGGCACTTTGCCATGTGGGTCAATTAAACTCAGTTAAATAGTCCATGAACAAAGCAGACAGACTTGCCTATGTACTTACAAAAGTCCTTTTTTTTTATTCCACCCTCTTCACAGAAAAGATTTACAGGCATCTCTTTCCTTCTCCTCCTCGCTGTCCTCTACATTTCCCTCTTTTATGCTTCCCGGCCACTTACCCACACCTCCTTCGCAATCACTCATCTGCCTTCTATCAATGTGTTTCCAGCCTCAGCTTGCATATCTTTCTCTGAAGTTAAGGGAATAAGTTTTCTTTCTATTAAGTGTGGTCCCCTCGATACTCCTCACACACTTACATGGCCCAAAACTATAGTTATTGTAGGTAGCAACAATGCAGCACCAGTCACCAGAATTCCAATCCAAAGTCAACATAGCCAGCAGTCTAAAGATAGTAGAGTCCAAGGTTGAAGTCAGAATCCAAAACAGAGAAGTTCAAAGTCTAGTCCAAAATCAACAAGGCCGATCATCCAAAGAGTTCAGAATCTTCATTGTTACCAGTGCATAAATGCATTAATTATTCGATCAGCCTCATCGCAAAAACTGCACGAGATAGAGAAAAAATAAAGACAGATCTGCACAAAAACCTCTGTAAGAATGACCTAAAATCATATCTGATGAAAAATACTTGTTGGCTTGTGGTTAATTAGATTCTATTGATATCAGTTCATAATTACATTAATTATTTGATTAGCCTCATTTCAAAAACTGCACATGATAGAATAAAATACAGTTCTGAATTCAGTGCAAAAAACTATAAGAAAGACCTAAAATCATATCTGATGAAAAATACTAGTTGACTTGTGGTTAATTAGATTCTATTGATATCAGTGCGTAAGTGCAGTACTTATTCAATAAGCATAATCTCAAAAACTACATGTGATCGAGAAAAAATAAACACAAATCTGAATTCTATGCGAAAAACTCTTATCAGAATGATCTAAAATTATATCTGATGAAAAATACTTGTTGACTTGTGTTACACGAATATGATGTGAAATGTGCAGACTTCAAAGTAGTCTGCTGTAATGTACCATTTGTCATATTTGAAAAAGTTGATGTGATGGGAAAAATAAAGGCATATTTAAAATCAGCAAAAAATTGATTTGAACTGTGCTACTCTCATTTCTGATGATTACAGAAAATTTGATTTTGTTGACTTGTGTAATTTATGTGAATTTACAATATAACTAATAAATCTTGATATATTTTTGCAGATCATCCATCGGTTTCTAGAAGAGAAGTTCAGTGCCCTGCAGTGTGCTGTATTTGATAAAACTCTAGCAGATTTGAAAACCAGAGTGGATAAGGTTGAATGTAGCAAGAGACATAAAACAGCAGTTACTGAATTACAGGTACATATGCATGTATTTTGTAGACTTTATATTATCATTTTGCCATTTTCCCCAACATCGGAATGTTCAATTCCTATTCATAAGCATTCCAGTTCTGACTGCTGCACTGAGAATGTCTGCCAATGGGATAAGAAAGGTCCTGATTTCAACAATTCCCCTTTTCCCCAATAGTTCACTATACAACTTCCTTATCTGCTGTAGAGGAATCCTCAGTTTTTTCTTCATGGACTCTATGAATGCACACATGTGGAGTATCGGGACCTGCGCAGGCTCCAACGGAAAACTCCCAAGTTTAAACTCCAAGTTTTGCAGTCCCCTTGCAGGGCTTAAAAGCACCCCACGCGTACGCTCCGCAGTTCCTCTTTTTCCACTGCAAAGCTAAGCTTTGGAAAGTTCCTTCGCAATTTCGACAGCGCGGTTTATGAGTCCTAGAGCAAATCAAACCTGAATTCTCCTTAGAAGCCAGGATGACTAAATTGAAACTGTTATACTTTGGAGATACTATGAGACTGCATAAATAATTAGAAACACAATACATGCTTGGTAAGTCAGAAAGTAATAGGATGAGATAACTGCATTAAATATGGACTGAAGGAGGCTACAGTTCTGAGTCTGGAAGATCTGCGCAGGATTGATGATAATAGGGTGATTTTGAAGATCACCATTAATTTGGTTCGATAGAAGCTAATAACTTCAAATACTGTATATACTCCAGTATAAACTGAGTTTTCCCCCCCCCCCTTTTTTTTAAGGGTGAAAATGCTCCCCATGGCTTATACTCGAGTCAAGGTTATGTAGTATTCTACTCTGTTATTATTTTTATTACATTTATGATTTTACTCTATTATTAATACATTACCATTATTTCATGCTATTTTTTTATTTTTATAATTTTACTCTATTATTACATTTATTATTTTTCTCAATTTATTGTTAACATTACATTTATTATACTTATTATTACATTTATTATTTTACTCTATTGATGTCTATTTTACTCTATTATTTTCATTACATTTATAATTTTACTCTATTATTATTGGAAGGATATGTAACACATTTACATTGAAGAAGGTTAGAATAATGATTTAATCAGAGTTGGGCAGTCTTATCTTAAATTACAGTTTTATGTAAACACTCAAAAACATTTAACTAATGCCTCAATTAATGTAATTTTATTGGTATCCATTTTTATTTTGAAATTTACCAGTAGCTGCTGCATTCCCTACCCTTGGCTTATACTCAAGTCAATTGGTTTTCCCAGTTTTTTGTGGTAAAATTAGGTGTCTCGGCTTATATCAGTTCGGTTTATACTCGAATATATAAGGTTTCCCATCGTGGTCAACTGTGAATATGTACATATGGTAGTTTCTGCGCCTGAGCAAACAGCTTCGGAACCTTCTAGCTAGATTTGAAAACTTTGGCGGTTGGCCCGACCCACTCTCCCCTTGTGAGTATAAATAGCAGGTGGGCGGAGCCACCACCTCAGTTCTTTTGATCTGCCGCTCTGTCAGCAGCAAAAGAACCTTTGCTTACAAATTGCCTTTAGGACTGCCTGTGTTTTTGACTGGGTTGCATATCATTTCACTGTCTCTCTCCCTTCCTGAGCTCAGACTGTTTCTTGGATTTACTGAAGGTTTACTAATAAACAATCCACTCCCCTGTGGAGAATATGGCGGCTCCATCAGCCTTTAAGCGCTGTACTGCATGCTCAACTTTTTATTCAGAGAATGATGGCCATTCTGTCTGCCTTCTCTGCCTGGGGGAGAGCCATCTATCCCAGTCTTGCACTATCTGCCAGGTGTTTACACCCCAAACAAGAAAAAATAGGGTGTCTTGCCTTAAGGCTGAGCTATATTAGTGAGCCTTGCTCCCTCCATCCCAGGCCAATAGCACTGTCAGTGCTTCTGCCCCCTCAAGGGGTAATAGCAATAATGCCTTACCAATGGTGGCTGTTGAAAAGATGGCACCTTCCGGAAAAAAGAAAAAAACTAAGAAGGTGAAGGGTCATGGTGGCTCCAGTGAAGCCAGAAAAATCCTTCCCGAAAGGGTTGGGACATCTGCTGCCCCACCTCAGAAAACGGCAGCTCCTTTTTTGGGGCAGGAGCATGGCAATCAGAGCCTAACCGCGTTGATGGCGCAGCTCGATTTAACTCTCCCCTTGCGAGTGGGGAGGGCCCTCAGCCCCCTGAGGAGATTCTGGCCCCAGACCCTACACCACCATCTCTTTCGATACCGACGCCATTCCTCCCAACGCCCTCCATACCGGAGGCCCAAGATCAAGAAGAAGATGGTATACTTCTGGTTCCGCCCCTGCCTTCAGGCCCGTATCCGTCCCAAGCCTGCTCAAGGGCTTGTTCGCGCCAGAGGCATGATCACCCACCTTCCCAATGTCGATCTCTGCATTGACGTCGCAATCACTCCATCTCGAGAAGCGGATTGAGTCCCTCCTCCTCCAGCCCCTCAACCATATTGGGACATCAATCCCGCAGAAGAGGCAAGAGACATGCCTGCTGGTCTCAAGCCTCTTCTTGCTGGAGTGGACATGCACCTAGCCATCTGGCCATGCCCTCAAATCCTGCCTACTGGCAAATATTCCAGAGGGGACAATATTTCTACTTTGGGCCCCTCCCTTCTTACCTTCCCAAGAGGGAATGAAAGCAGGGAGATATCTTTCCATTTGGCATGCAGTATGGGCCGATACCGGATGTGGCTTTTCAAGTGCCCTCTGTGACCATATCGGGTACAACACAAGAAGCAGCGCAGTTAGCGCCCTTTAGTGTACAGCCTGCCACTAATCATAGGACAGTACTGCTAGTGCCCTCTATGGCTCAGCCAGCATCTGTACTGACAGTGCAACTTACTGCTCAATACAACTAGCAGCCTATTGGCTCTAATGTAATTACAGGAGGAGACAGTCTAGATAAAATAATAGAACTTGATGAGTCAGAAACATCAGATGAAGAAGCTTCTGTTCATAAAGAGGCTAAGGAGGATATTCAACACTTACCTCCAGGAGAAGATTTCAATAAATTTGTTAGATTAGTCTCACGAGTGGTCAAAGCATTGGACCTTCCTACTCCTAAGCTACCAGCTCCTGTGGAGGATGCTCTTTTTCCTTCAAATGAGCAACAGCTACCTACAACACCAGCACTTCCAAATTTACCATACCTTCTAAAGTTAAGCAAAGTGCCTGGTATGCCCCCAGCCATTGCCCCTGCAATTCCCAAGAGAGTTGACTCTTCATACAAGATTGATTTATCTGCAGCAGACTGATTAGTCTGCCCCTTTAGACCAAACACTGTTGTGGCCGAAGTACCTCAGTGTAGACGTTCAAGAAAACCAACTTTGTCACCAGTGGACAAAGAGGGCAAAGAGATAGCTTCTATGGGAAAGAAAGTACACTTGTCAGCAGGACTCTTTACTCGTATTTCACACTATGCGGCATACATGAGTGCATACCAGACCTTCTTGTGGAACAAAATCTTGCCATATTTTAACCTTTTGCCTCTCGAAGAACAGCGTCTGCCTAAAGCCTTGCAGGCGGAGGCTTTAACCCTCTCTTGAATTCAAAAAGACTTTGTGAAACATATGGCAGAGTTTGCGGGTAAACTGCTTGTACTGCCACGTCCATCCGTCGGCATGGCTGGCTACGCTCTTCAACCCTTTCTGAAGAAGGTTGTGCTTTAGCTGAAGATTTGCCTATGAATGAAGGACTTTTTAACCCTTTACTTGACGAAAAACGAAAACATAACCAAGAAGTGTGTCAGGCAGCGCACAAGTTTGGGTATCCCCCACAGCCTTTTTTCCAGCAAAAACCCTGGTGGCAACCCCTTCTTTACTTACAGAAGGAATTTTGGTAATTCTTCAGGTTTTGTTCCAAGGGGCCGTACCACCAATAATGCTAGACCCCAGGGCAGGAAACAGCAGTATGGGTCTAAGAACCGATTTCAACCATATAAAAATAGATCCAAGCAGACTGTGGGCCCTATTTTCCCATGTTTGGAAATCGCCTGGCGCAGTACTTTGACACCTGGGCAACAATCACTTCCGATCGGTGGGTCCTCCAAATTATTCAGTCAGGTTACTCTATTGAGTTTAGTAGGCAGTCACCTGTTGGTTGCCTAAGGTTCACCAATCCTCCCCCCCACCACCACTTTTAGAGGAAGTTGCTGCTCTATTACAGAAAGGAGCAATCTCTCACCTGCATCCTACTTTTTTCTTCGAATGTTACTTCTCCCGCTATTTCTTAGTATCAAAGTGGGGTGGTTCTAAAATCTTAGAGGGGTGAACAAGTACATACATTCTAGAAAGTTTCAAATGGTTTCCCTTGCCTCAATACTTCCGCTGTTGAATAAAAAGTCTGGTTCGCTACAACTGATTTGAAGGACGCTTATTTCCATTTATCAATAGCAGAGAATCACAGAATATTCCTTGCCTTTAAGACTGGTAATCAAGCGTTTTGCTTTAATATTCTGCCCTTTGGGCTAACGACTGCTCCATGTGTTTTCACTAAGTGCATGGCCATAGTGGCAGCACATCTACGCACTAAGGGAATTACGGTTCACCCATATATAGATTATTGGTAATGGTTCACGCTACCGCTTAGAGGTCCATGTTAGATCTACACTCTCTCTGCCCCGGTCCCTAGGTCTCGTCGTGAACCTGGAGAAATCTCAGCTTCAGCCAACCCGCAAAATCCAATTTATTGGTCCTGTGCTGGACTCAGAACAACAGAGGGCTTTCTTACCCAAAGAGCGTTTCCAGGCCCTTCGGAACTTGGTTTTGCAGGCCACCAATTCACACAGTCTCAGCCAAACAGGTCCAAATTTTGTTGGGCCACATGGCTTCTACCACCTTTGTTACCCCTCATGCAAGACTTCATCTGCAGCCCCTTCAGGTGTGGTTCCTCTCTGTTTATAACCCCACTTCGGACAGCCCTCGTATGCTTTTTGTGATGCCTCAGTGTTTGCGACTCCTTGACATGGTGGACCTACCACAGCAATGTTTGTGCAGGTCTTCCGTCAACCTACTCCATCCAAGGTCCTTACTACAGACTCCTCCCAACAGGGATGGGGTGCGCACTCAGAAGGCCTCATAGCACATGGCCTCTGGTCACCCACAAAAAGCATACTACATGTAAACATACTAGAACTGCTGGCCGTAGAAAGAGCACTAAAGGCCTTCGAGGTTGTGCTTTTGGGAAAAGTGGTACAACTGGTGATGGACAATACTACAGTGATGTATTACCTGAACAAACAGGGAGGCACTCATTCTCCTCCACTTTTGCACTTAACCCTAAAGATCTGGAAGTGGTGCATAGACACCGCAATCCACATGTTAGGAGAAGAAAACATTCTGGCAGACACATTGAGCAGGACCCCACTCACCCATCACAAATGGTCCTTGAACATGGAGGCCATTTGAAATCTCCTCCTGATGTGGGGCTCTCCAGAGTTGGATCTATTTGCCAGCCCACAGAACGCAAAGTGTCCTCTTTATTGTGCACGCCAAGGGAAGAATCTAGATCAGGGATGTCTGGGCAATGCGTTGCCTTCAACTTGGAATGTTCTTCTCATGTATGCCTTCCCACCGTTCCCTCTTCTGCTCAGGGTGATTGCCAAATTGCAGCAGGATGGGGGGGGTGCATCTTGGTGACTCCTTGGTGACCTCGCCAACAATGGTTCACTCCCCTGTTAGAGATGTCCAAAGGGGTGTATGTCCGCTTCCCTTCCAGGGTGGACCTCCTAACATCCCAGGAAGGGAAGGTTCTGTATCCAGATGTCCAGAACCTAAGGCTTACAACATGGAGGGTGCTTCCCAATCACTAATTGGTTTATCCTCCCTTTCTAAACCAGTTGTGGAGATAATAGAAGCAGTCCACAGGCCCTCCACTAAACACTTCTATATTTATAAGTGGTCCCGTTTTTCCAAGTTTGCTTCCCAAAAAGGATGGGACCCTGTGTTAGCCCCAGTTTCCTTAGTGTTAGATTTTCTGGTTTCTCTATCCAAAGCAGGCCTATCCTTATCTTCTTTGGAATGTTATTTAGCAGCCATTTCCTGGTTCAGAAGGAAGTCCGGCCTACCCTCTTGTTTTGCTGATCCCTTAGTCAGACTTTTCCACAAAGGGTTTGGGAATATTAAGCCTACAGTTGTCCCGTTGGTGCCTGCCTGGAGCATTGAGCTGGTTTTGTCCTCTCTAATGAAACCTCCGTTTGAGCCCTTAGGTACGGCCAATATGCTCTATCTGTCCTGGAAGACCTCCTTCCTAGTAGCGATCACCTCTGCTCGGAGAGCTAGTGAACTGTGTGCTCTCTGGGTGGACGAACCATACCTCTGTTTTCATAAGGACAAGGTGGTGCTTCGCATAGACGTAGCCTTTCTTCCCAAAGTGGCTTCCAGCTTCCATATGTCTCAAGAATTAAATTTGCTGGCCTTTTTCCAGAATCCAGAAACTACTTTGGAAAATCCCTCCATTTGTTAGATGTGCGTAGGGCCCTAGCTTATTACGTTGATAGGACAGTGGGGATTTGGAAGTCTCCAAGATTGTTTGTGAAATACTGGAGAGATGCAAGTGGCCTTCCAGTATCAGCCCAATGTCTATCTTCCTGGATAGTATCAGCAATTCGGCTAGCATATAAAATGGCAGGTAGAGATCCTCCGCAGACTGTGAAAGGCAATTCTACAAGATCCGTTTCCACATCTGCGGCCCTTATGAGGGGTGTTCCTTTGGAGGCTATGTGCCGTGATGCCATCTGGTCCACACCACTGACCTTTGTGACGCACTACAAACTGGATATCTCTTCCAAGAGGGATGCTTCGTTTGGAAGGGCAGTCCTCTTCTCTGTGGTGGTATGACGCCCACCAGCCAAGGTTAGTAGCTCACTAGTCTACCATATGTGCGTATTCACAGTTGACCACGATGGGAAAACATAGGTTGCTTACCTGTAACCGTAGTTTCCCAAGTAGTCACCTGTGAATTCGCACAGCCCCACACATCCTCCCCGCTGTTTGTCATGCCTCGGTTTTTCTAGCTGCTTCCGCAGCAGAAGAACTGAGGCGGTAGTTCCGCCCACCTGCTATTTATACTTGCAAGGGGAGAATGGGCGGGGCCAACCGCCAAAGTTTTCAAATCTAGTTAGACGGTTCCGAAGCTGTCTGCTCAGGTGCGAGTTCACAGGTGACCACTCGGGAAACTATGGTTACAGGTAGTTTATTTCTCCAATTAATCTAATTATAGAAGCAGAGACAGTAGTGTTGGATGCTGCAGATTCACCTAGGCACTCTGATTCTGCCCACAAATTAATAATTTTGAGGTAAAAATGGATTTTCACCAATACTAGTGGTTATAGCTGTATTCATGGAAAATAATATACTCCCCTACATGAGAACTTAATTTATTTAACAGCAATAATAGAAATACAATAACTGGCATTAATGAAAAATACCAATTGTGAAATTCTTGAGTGTACAGAGACAAGGTAATTGAAATGTGGTACCCATTTTGTAAGATGTTATATTAAAAAATGCAACTAATTTCCCATTATGAGAAATGTATGTGGCTCGAGGGCTACTTTATGGTTAAAAAATACTTATATTTCTCTGATTTGAATTACAAACGTTAATGATGTTTTTATTTGTGGGATGTGGCTGCTGCTTGTCCTGTCTGGTGGATTCTTCTTATTTTATAATTCCTAAGGATGTGAACAGTATTCTTAGAGATAAGAAGCATATCATCTTCCATATCACCCTCTTTGCCCATTATGCATAATGAAATATATCAGAGGAATTTGTCTGGTTGGGTTAGTGTTCTGCCATAGGCCTCTCTTATAGCAAGGATGCAGAGTTATGACACACCTTTTAAAGAAATGCTGAGTGGAACCAACAGTAGTCACTAGTTGACTTGTGTCAAATATATTATTGGAAGAAAAAAAATTAAAATCTTATTTACATGTTGTTTACCACTTCTTTAAAGGCTAAAATTGCAAGATTGACAAAAAGGTTTGGAGCAGCCAGAGAAGACTCCAAAAAAAAGCCTGAAGTAAGAATTAAACTTTTTGCTACTTTTCTGATTTACTGTTCGAAATAATTGTGGTAATCATACTCGAGGCATTCTCACATTTTTTTCATGAAAAATACTCCTAGACAAAATAAGTGGCTATACAATTCAAGGGATGAGAAAGTTTGTATATTAACTTGATAAACCTTTATTTCTGTTTAAAGAATTAAGCAGAATTAACATGTTTTCAATCACTTAAAGGGTTAAACAGGGGGGGGGGGTGTTCTCAGACTGTAGTGAACCAGAATATCTTCAGTTAGTGGTATTTTATCAGAGATTATTTGTGCACAATATTTAGTCTTAGATAGACAATGAGTTATTATCGACTAAAAATTAGGACAGGAAGAACAGGGCGAAATGTCCTGCCGTTAGTGCTCCTATAGAATTAAAGAAATAAACCATAACCACAAGATTTCAAACTCAGTAGTCTAGTTGTTATTTTAAAAAATCTTTGCCTTCTAATTTAGGACATGCAGTATATATTTACTAATGCAAAGTAAGTTGAGATGCCTGGAAATCCTACCATTAGTATTAACATGATTAAAAAATAGCAACAGAACTTTATAATTGTTATTATTACCTACTGGTGTGAAACATCAATAATATGTAATATTATTTCAAATACTTCACAGAATTAGCTTTACTACAAAGGAATTGCTGATTTGTTCTGTTAGAGTTGAGCACTTCACACTTCTGGCATACTCTGTGCAATGTCACTCATAAACCAGAGTAAAGACCTCTGTTTCAAGAGGTGGCTTTGATTTGTTTTGTAATACATTGAGGTGAGGAAATCAGATATGTCATCTTAATACTTTTTTGCAACAGAAAGTTCTTCCCCTGTGTTGTGTGGTACCATGAGAGAACAGGATTGTTGAAAAAATGTAGGTAGGCATACCAGTATTGCCATACATATAGAATTTCAGTATTTGATATTCCAGAGAAGGGGACAACATATAATAAATGAACTTACAGAATAAGAAGTTGAGTTTCAAAAGACATAAGCATAGTGACCATGTATGAAGTACAACTTTTAAAACACAGACCTCATTTAATTTGCATCACTTTGCAGGATCCACATTCCCCAGGAAAAGCAGTCAGTGATACAGGTGGTATCAACAACGCACAGTTTCGGTAAGCTTTGAAAATGTAGACATGCATTGTGTGGAATGTTTAAAATCGTTCTTGGAATTACAGTTGTTCCATTAAAAATATAAAAAGTTTGGGGGATTATATTTTTTGTATCCTAATTATTGTGGACTGTTTATGTCTTCTGCTGTTAAAAGCATGGGTCTGTTCATATGTTCTCAGGATGACATCAGGAGTAATCCACTATGTTTGGGTTCTCTCTACTTGCCAACCGGTTCAGCAGGAGCTCATATTATTTATGGGTTTTGTTCTTTTGGAGCTTTGCAAGTGAAAGGACTGTGGTAGTGAAATAGTAGGTGGCCCCTTCTACCCACTTTACAGACATACAGGAGAAAGAGGTGGCCCTCTAGCATGCAACCTTCCACCAGAGGACAGCTCATGTCTCAAGCCACTTGTTTCTTCAATACTTGCTCCAAGGGGTTCTTCAACTTGAGGTTCTATTGCAGGAAGGCTTATGAAGTAGTTTGTTGATGAGGCACAGCTGGTTATCCAAGCTATTCTTCCATAATACTTTGGTTCCCATGACCCTCAGAGGCAGGCTTTTTTTTTTAAGTGATTTTTATTGATGATTTTAAAAGGGGTACATCGAGAGAGTGTCAATCATCGACATATCAATAGTAAAAGTATGTCAGTAAATGATGATGCAGGTATGGGAGTGTGGATAGGGAGGGTGGGGGTGAGGAGGGGTGTGGGTTGGATTAGGGAGAGGTGTGCGGGGAGGGTGGAGGTTGAGGAGGAGGAGAGTTAGTAATATTATCTAATGATTGTAGCCCGATTCTCATGTTAGTTTTGATTTGGATTGGATTTCCTTCGCGGGTTTCCTCTTTGTTCTATGGTTAGTTGATATTAAAATAGTTTTTGCCTCAGAGGCAGGCCATGAAGAAACATGTGCTCTAGAAACTGATCTCTAGCAGCCAATGTAACCTGGACAACCTAGTGGAAATGCATCAAAAAGACATCGTAGCCTTCCAGAACTGAATAGGATCTAGCATTGTACTACTTATTTCTACAGCTATATTGCTTGTCATAGCTAACATATATATTTATTTCATAGAAATGCTGGCACAGTAAGACAAATGCTTGAGTCCAAGAGAAATGTGGGAGAGAGCACAACAAATACAGGTAAAAATATTTTCCGATTTCAGGTACAACATTTTTTCCCCTTTGGAAGCATTTTATAAGTATCAGTGTAATTGTGCTAGACGAAAACTATAGTGGCAGTGATTACTTTCCTTTTCAAAACTGAAGTGTTTCAGGATTGTAGAATACGATCCCCTGAAGATACCCTTCCAAAGAAACATCTATAGAAAATCAGAGCGTCACCTGCCATGGAGTGTGGGACAAAATGTCATGGTGAACTTCACATTAATTATGCTATGGCCTGAGAGCCCATAACCTTTTATGTTGCAAATGCTCTCTGTGGAATATAGAGGACAATTTTGCATATCTCTCAGCATATTTGTTCTCCCCACCTCCATTTTAGGCTAGGGGATGCTTTTTAAAAAAATGTCAGGTAACTTCCTGTTTGTGATGAAAGCCTCTCTTGGGCCTAAAAGGGGCCAGAGAGAGATAAAATTGGTGAAATTCCCCCTCACATCTATAGGGGCTTTTGGAATTAAAAGAAATTCAAAATTAGTGAATTTTGAATTTCCTGAATTTGCTGGGGAAAGTGCACTCCAGTTGTCTTGAGGGTTGTCAACTCCTGCTTTAGGACAAACTGTAGTAGAGGTGTGTTGTCTGATGTATGAGAGAACACACAATCCCAAGTTGCTATTAAATTTTATTTTATTCATAAATGGGGAATCAGGTAATCCCAAGAGTCTTTCAAAAATGCTTTCTAAATAGCGGCAGTGCCTGAGTTACAAACAGCTAACTAACAAATGATTCATAGTTAAGAACAGAGGTGAGACAACAGGAATCGAGAGAAATCTACTTCTAGGAAGGAAAATTCACTCCTGGAAGTTTTCATGGGGAAAAGATGTCTCCCCTGAAGCTTTCTCACCAATCTTTGTTTACACAATAAGCCAATTTTTTCCAAAATCCAATTATCATACAGACAAAGTGAGGTGAAATCTTCTGAACGGAGGCACAGACAGCAAAACAAACACCATGAGGGTGTTAATGCTTTCCTATGCCATTGAAAACTTAAAAATGCATATATTTGGTTGGAGTTACAAATGTAACTCCAACTTACATATAAATTCAACTTAAGACTAAACCTACAGAACCCATCTTGTTCATAACTTTGGGACTGCCTGTAGTTAGATGTTGAACAGCCACACAGAGATGTTTTCGTTTATTTATTTGTTACAAAGATCATTCACAAATTCTGAAGTTGGAAACTTATATACTCGAGTATAAGCCAACCTGAATATAAGCCAAGACACTTAATTTTACCACAAAAAACTGGGAAAATGTATTGACCCGAATATCAGCCAAGGGTGGGAAATGCAGGAACTACTGGTGAATTTCAAAATTAAAATGGATACCAATAAAATTACATTAATTGAGGCATCCGAAGGTTAAATGTTTTTGAATATTTACATAAAACTGTAATTTAAGATAAGACTGTCCAACTCTGATTAAACTATTATCCTAACTTTCTTCAATGTAAATATGCTTACATATCCTTCCAACAATAGAGTAAAATAATAAATGAAATAAAAATAATAATGATTGAGTAAATTAATAAATGTAATAATAATAATACAGTAAAATAATGCAAATGTAATAATAAACAGTAAAATAATAAATGTAATATAATAATAATAATAACAACAACCATAACAACAGAGTAAAATAATAAATAACTTTGATTCAAGTACAAGCCAAGGGGGACTTTTTCAGCCTAAAAAGGTGGCTGAAAAATTCTGCTTATACTTGAGTATATATGGTATGCCCCAAATGTTTCAAATTGCAAACAGCAGCATTTCCCCCATTTTTCTCCTGCAGTTGCAAGGGGGAGGTAGACAGGGGAATTAGGACCGCCAAGGCCCAAGCCAACATGGTGTAGTGGTTTGAACATTGCACCGTGCCTCTGGAGACCAGAGTTCAAATTCTCCTTAGTCTCAGGAAGGCAAGGGCAAACGCCAACTGAACTAATTCTGAGAACAAAACCCCATTATAGGGTTGCCATATGTCAGAAAGGATTTGAAGGCCCAAATCTTTCCATATGTTCATAGTAGTTCATTGGAACAAAATTTAAAACTTTTCTCCTTTTCTTTTTTATAGTGTCTGCTACTACTATTACTACACCTCAAACACAAATCAGCGGACATACCAAACCACTAACACCGATCACCTGTGCACCTGTTATTCCTGCACCTAACACAGCAACAGTAGTTGGCACAAACCAGGCATCTGGTGGCAACACACAGCCAATGTCTGTTTCTCTGCAGTCCTTGCCGGTAATATTGCATGTACCTGTTGCAATGTCTTCCCAACCTCAGCTTCTGCAAGGCCATACTGGCACCTTGGTTACAAACCAGCAATCTGGCAGTGTTGAGTTTATTCCTGTACAAAGCTCATCTAATGTTGGTAACCTAACCAAAACTCCATTGGCTTTGCCATCGGCTAATTCAGCAAAACCCAACAACAGTCCTTCTGTACCCAACTCCAGTATTCAAAGGAACTCTCCAGCAAGTGTTGGCTGTTCAATAGGAACAACTCTCGCAGTACAAGCTGTCTCAGCAGCACATCCTGTTGCACAAGCTACAAGGACTACTTTGGCTACTGTAACTACTTCAGGGATCTATACTCCTCCCACCAGTAGGAGTAACATACAAATGAAAATCCCTTTGTCAGCCTTCAACCATTCTGTTCCTTCAGAAACAAGCACAGCAGCAATATCTAGAATTGGTAAGTTACATATCTCTAACCACTGCACTTGAATAATGATACAAAGCTGATATATCTGTGGGAAACATGCAATCCTTGGCATGAACTAGTTCATGAACTACAGTACTTAAGTTATTACTAAGTTAAAAATAATCCCTAGTAAATTAGGTCATTAAACTGTTAGGATAGATTCGGTAGCTGCCTCTCCTTTCGCCATATTTATTAAAACAGGAAAGATGGCTACATCAGGAGAAGTAATGTTAGAATTGAAGGAAATGTGTCATGTGGCTCTATTAAGCAGACCAATAACAGACTCTTGATTTCTTTGAAAAGGCAGTAGAGCTGAAAACAGCTGTTTGAGAAAGAAGGAAAACAATAATGGAAAGGAGGAGGTGAGCCATCGAAGGAAATTGTGCTGGGAAAAGTTATTTGTTTGCTTAGCAGCTAAACCAAAGCCCTCAGGCGTCCGGGACACTGTCAGAATACCCCACAGAATGCTTGTATAAAGGAACTATGAAATCCAGGGAACTGTTCAGTAACTTCTCTCCCTGTATTGTTCTAAATGGATTTCTACTGTATATTGTGTTATAATATACGGGTATCATATAATGTTGCAAGAAGGCCTTTTAGCCAAAAAGGAAGTTCCCCCACTTCTCTTAGGTCTGTATAAAATGAAAATGTTCTAGGCAGGAGTACAGTATTCTCTTCTGTAACCCCTCTCCATTGATTATATGCTGGACTCATTTCAGTGCATATTTCATATTACATTATTGTGGTGAACTGCAGCAAATCACTTTGTAATTCGTTTTTCATATACTGCTAGGCCCTTGATTAATAAAGTGATAAGGTTTCCTGAGATATATGCTAAATTCCTTTTTCGTCTTGGCTTTTCCATCTCTTTGCATGCATCTACACTGTGAATTAATGCAATTTGACACAACTCTAACTGCCATAGTTCAGTTCTATGGAATCCTGGTCTTTGTAAGTCCCATTTTATTCTTTTATAATTTTAAAAGAATAAATGAGATCTTTTGAGAAAGTGAGTTACAACATGATACTTTTTTATTAACTCCGGAAATCTCATGGACTTGCCCAATGCTTACCAGTTTAATTGACAAGTTAATTAACAGTTACTTTCCAAATTAAAAATATATTCGGTATCTGTATTATTAAATTAATTTTCTAACATTTCATATTATCAAATCTATTTTCAAACCCAATGTTCCAAGTTATCAAAACATGCTGATTTTTAAATAAATCTATAATTTATTTATTGTCAATTATATGGCATTAATCTGCTGAACATTATATTGGAATGCCCTTCAACTAAATGCATGACTTAATTTATCTTGTGAAACCTAAATAGAGTTGCCTCATTCAATTGGTGATAACTTGATAAGTCAACACTTATATAATTTCTCTTACTTCATCAGTATACTATAGTTGTGACTCGCAACAAAATTCAAGCCCGTGTATTCAAAATTGTGATGAATCTTTCTCTTCTAGAAAATCAAGCACCCAGGTTGCTGCCACATCCACCACCTCCTCCACCACCACCACCACCACCTCCTCCTCCAACAGAAACTTCATCCAACAAAAAAGCATCTGAGGTTGCATCACAGGTAAGCTGTTTTGTATTATTCACAGAAATCGATATCATATATTTCCCTATTTAGGAAATCAACTTGGATGTGGTCCTTATGTTTGTGAAATATCCATGATTAAATATTTCTTTATTAAAGAAATATTTATTAAAGCTTTAATGAAAAGCAGTGCTACATACCAGTTGGGACAGAGCTTTCTAAAAATGTTAAAATCTGTCATTTCAGTAGCAATACAGAACTGGTCATTTTCCTCATCAGCTTGCGGGTAATAGTATCCTGTAAATGATCAGGGTGTTGATGAAATTAAATACACCTGATTCATAGATAAAAGAACAATTTCCTGGTATTCGAGATCATTTTGAAAAAAACACAAGTTTCCCAAAGTGCGGTGTGCTGACATAGTTTTGTACTAGGCGTGTGCATTTCAGCTGAACCGCAGTCAGTTTCTGCTTATTGTGTACAGTGCATCACCTTTTATGTTCTTCTGATGACTAAATCATATTTTTCATAGTAGTAAATTGCAGATGTTTGTATATAGTGCTATCAAAAAAGTGTTAGTGCAACAGTGAATCATATTAGTAGCAAGAATAAGGCAACTTCTTATATTAGACTCAGGCTGAAATCTGCCCTGTATTTATTTGCAGTGTTCTCACTCTTGTTCATTTGCACCTTGTATTGTGCATCATTCTGCATTTTAATCGGTTTTATCATTTTATTAATCTGTCCGCACTATGTGTACTTTTTTACTGCTGAACTATTTGGGTCTTTGGACTGCAATAAAGTTTTGGTTGAATAATATTGCAGTGGAGGAAAAAGTATTTAGTCAGATGCCAATTGTACAAGTTCTCCCACTTACAAAAATGAGAGAGGCCTGTAACTGACATCATAGGTAGATCTCAACTATGAGAGACAACATGAGAAAATACATCCAGAAAATCACATTGTCTGATTTTTAACAAATTTATTTGCAAATTATGGAAGAAAATAAGTATTTGGTCACTTACAAACAAGCAAGATTTCTGGGTCTCACAGACCTGTAACTTCTTCTTTAAGAGGCTCCTCTGTCCTCCACTCATTACCTGTAGTAATGGCACCTATTTGAACTTGTTCTCAGTATAAAAGACACCTGTCCACAACCTCAAGCAGTCACACTCCAAACTCCACTGTGGTGAAGGCCAAAGAGCTGTCGAAGAACACCAGAAACAAAATTGTCGCCCTGCACCAGACTGGGAAGACTGAATCTGCAATAGGCAAGCAGCTTGGTGTGAAAAAATCAACTGTGGGAGCAATAATTAGAAAATGGAAGAGATACAAGACCACTGATAACCTCCCTCGATCTGCAGCTCCACGCAAGATCTCACCCTGTGGGGTCAAAATGATCACAAGAACGGTGAGCAAAAATCCCAGAAACACACGGGGGAACCTAGTGAATGACCTGCAGAGAGCTGGGACCAATGTAACAAAGGCCATCAGTAACACGTGGGGAACATCAATGGACGAGGCATTGGAAGAGTCATTCAAAGCCAATCAGGGATGGTTTGGTAATTTTAAAAAGAGAACCGGCTTCACTTTGTCGTGAGGCAGCAAACTTGAATGTTAAGGCTGCTGGAGATTTTATAGTAGTTTTTAATCAAACTGATTAGAAGTCGAAGGATGCATCCTCCAGGAAGTCTTCAACTGTGACTAGAAAAAGATGCTGAGTAGTGACTAGAAAAAGATGCTTTCGGAAAAAGATGCTGAGTAGGGCGTATATAACAGCAGAGGAGAAAATCCTGCCAGACCACAAGCTTATGAAGGATAGGTTAACCCTTGGACTGTGCATAAATGGGAATGGTGACTACAAGATGAATCCGCTGCTCATATATCACTGAAAACCCCAGAATCTTTAAGCCTTAAAGAAAAACTGCAGGTTATCTGGAGAGCAAACCCAAAGGCGTGGGTCACCAGGGGGTTCCTTTTGCAGTGGGTAAACCTGATCTTTGGTCCTCCCATCAAGAAGTATCTTTTGGAAAATAGCCCTTCTCATCCTTGACAATGTTCCCACCAAAACCAGAGGATGACATCCTTAAAGAATTTAACTTTATTAATTAATGTATTGTACCTTCCAACCAACACCATATCTATCCTGCAGCCCCTGGACCAGCAGGTGATTTCAATTTTCAAAAAGCTCTTCACCAAGCACGTGTTCTGGTGCTGCTTTGAAGTTACTGAGAACACAAACCTCACCCTTTGAGAGTTCTGGAAGGATCACTACAATATTGTGACCTGCCTCAAAATTATTGATATGGCCTGGCAGGGTTTTATAAGGAGGAACTTAAACTCTGCATGAAAGAAACTGTGGCCTGAGGTTGTGTCCAAAAGGAAAGTTATCTGTACAAGTGAGATTAAGGAAACATTGGTAATGTGAAAGGAAAAATTCAGATTTTATTGAAAAGAAACACCCTGAAAAAGTTGCAACAATCATGTGTTGGAGCTGTGTAATGACACTTGCCTCACTCATTTTAGAAACATTTTGAAAGGAAGAAACAACCCCTTTTGGACAGGTTTTTATTGAAATGCCCTGTAAGTAAATGTGAAGAAAGTGTGGCGAAAAAGGCAAATGTCAGTGAAGAATAAGATTATGTGAAGCCTGATCTTAAGGAAAATACATCCTCTACACTTAATAAATCCGGTTTATTTCTTTACATTATCTTTTATTACATATTATTTTTTACATTATTTGTTATTTATAAAGTACAATTTTCTTATTTAAAATATGTAACAAAAATTGGTGTGGTTTTGGAGGGGGCTGGAACAGATTAATAGCATTTCAGTTCATTTCAATGGGGAAATCTGATTTGACATAAGGGCAATTTGAGTTAAAAGCTCAGTCACAGAACAAATTAAACTCATAAGTCAAGGTATCACTGTCCAAGTATAGATAACAGTTACATAAAGAATTAATGAGCATCTGGACTGTGAAGCAACCAATTAAAGAAAGAATTCAGATAAGTCTCCACTACAGTAAAAAACAAAACACGCAAGTGAACAGTATAATAATTTTCCAGGTTCTGAATACAGTTCACAGAGAAAGTTTTGTCTGCTGATGGCCGCACTGTTGCTTTGCTGACCTTTGAGATGAAGATGGTTTTATTAAAAATGTCACTGGCAGAGTAAGTTTAAAGGAGCCATATGGCCAAAAGAATAAGCACAAGTGAGATTAAATACTCCAAGAACACTGTAATATGTCACAGACATTTGGCTGCAAGACTGACAGAAGAGGAAGCAAGCTTTTCAAACAGTTTCATCAGAATTTAAATTGATATGGAACCAAGCCTTTGGACAATAGTTCTCATTGCAATAAGTGACAATAGAATAATGCAGTTTGACAACCGGAATGGCTCCTGGAACATGCCCTTGGATTGTGTAATTTTAATTGTCTTAAGATTGATATGTTTTAATATTTGGTTTTAATATATATGTTTTATCCTATGTATGCATATATGGCATCAAATTTCTCAAGTCACTCCTGACGCAAAAAAATGTGGTTTCAAATGATTTAGGTCCTGATTAAATTAATCACAGTAAATTAATGGGATACCTTAATCATTAAGTAACTTCTTACACTGATTTCAGTAGAAGTCAGTTATGATTCATTTAGTCTGGATCTCACCTACCAAATGGCATTTTAGCATGCTATTAGGAAAGAGAGAAAGAAATACAGTAAATAAATAGCCTTTCTTTTAATTTACCAGAGTGGTAAGGCCCCAGGAGGAGGAGTAATTGATCTGACACTGGATGAAGAAGATGCTGCCTCATCTCGGGGTAAGTGATGCTTGGTCCATTATGGGATTTGGGTAGCTGGAGAGGATGAATATGTATACTAGAATAAATGTTTGCTGAGTAAAATGGTTCTACCAGAAAGCACTTCTTAAATGTGCTTTGAATGTAAACTGATATTTCCCCTTCTCCCTGCACAGAATGCATGTGCCCATATGTACAGTTCAAATCAAGTGATCTTATAGTCCATAAATGCTGGCCATTTGTTTGCTTATTTAATAGCCTCCCTATCCATGAGGCCCAAAGAAGCCGGGGAGGTTCTTCTTGGGTAACCACACACACACACGTTAAGGAATTGTTAGAATTTCTTGCTAGATTTTGTATTATTATTCTAAAAATGTTCATTTTTGAGCAATTTCTTAAGATTTTCAGGTATTTTAGATAAAATTGTAGGAGATCTTATTTATTTGAAACTGCAACATTACAAAACAACTATAGATATAAAATGGAGTAGGGAAGCTCCTCTAAAGTGTATGTTTTTCCTTCGAGAAAAACAAGATGCAAAAGGCAAGTCTGCAAGGATTGCTTCAAGCAAGACATTTGTGGAGGGATATGAAACAACTTGTTTTTCTAGCTGTGTCTGTTTTCCATATTCGTTTTTGTTTTTGTTTAATTCTAAACAGATGGAAAGAAACAGAACCAGCCTAATGTTTCTGGAATGAGCCTGTTAACTCAGTCGGTAGCTCGTCCCCTGCAACCAGTACAGACAAACCCTCCCCAACAAGCAAGTGCACCAACAAATAGCCTACCACAGACCACCATACACGTTTTACCCACAGGTAACCCCCCATGTTTTAGTTTTGAAACCTCATCCTATCAGATAGGATGCTATATTACCCAGAGCCATGTTTTGCTACAGTATTTGCACACAACTAGACCCATATTAGGATGATAGACCTACTCTATCTCTCCTACTCTATCTTCATCTCCCATGCAGAGGATGATCTTTTTTATAGTCAGTAAAAAGTTGAGGGGAAAATTCTCTCAAAAAGTTATTGTATTTTCCAATGGGGGTCCTTTTTTCCCCTGAACAATATAATGTTTGGGGACAAAAAAAATATGGTACACCATTTTGTGGTTGAAACATGATGGAGAGAATCTGGTGAGAGTGGTCAGATGAGAAGCAAGCGATGGACTTTTATGTAGTGAGAGGCAAGGATGGAAGGACCTGGTAATGACATTCACAGACAGCTCAGAGACAATATTCGGCAACATCCACGGCCAAAGAAGACGCAAATACTGCTAGAAACTTTTGGACCGCTCCTTGTAAAAAGCATTCCTTGCCACACAATGCTTGAAATAAATAAAACAAAATAAAAATGTGGCACATAGCATGGAATGAAAGGGATCCTACCAAGTTCAAAGTGTGGAAGTCCCTTGGCTAATCTGAATGCATACTATGTTCTGCGATTCCTTGTTAGACAAAATAAAATCTTGAAGGAATTGCAGTGTCCATTCTCAGGATGCTGACACTTCGAAGCAGCGATGAGTCTGAAGAGATTTTGTGCACCCTTGAGATGCTTAAGGTAGAACAACAAGAAAGTAATGTGAGAAGACAATGTATGACTTTAAAGATGATGGACTGTGCTTGCCAAAACAGCTTTGAACCATGGTACATACTAGGGAAGACTGTTTTCATTGCTAAATAGCTGGTTGAATTAAATGCCTTTCTAGCAGTTTATGCCAATTAGACATGGAAAATAAGGCTTTAATAGTGCTGTGGTCACGCAATGCTAAACCTCATGGTCTCTGAAAGGTTAGGAAACACCTGCTAGGATTACACCGTGGTGCCAACACTAGTTGTATCAGGAGACCATTTTTTTACCAGCTTATTGCAGCTGGTAATCACAGACATTTCATAGGAGTTTAATAGAAGTTGTTGACATTATTATTATTACTGTTATTATTATTATTAGTAGTAGTAGTAGTAGTAGTAGTAATAGTAATAGTAATAGGGAATACAATCTGAAATATCTGAGAAGTCCCCAACTTCTCATAATACAAAAATATATTTGTTTTACATCTGAATGATGCCCAAAGGGGAGAACGGACAAATAATTTATATGGATACTCAGGGGCAAGCTGCATGAGCAGCTTTTATTCCTTCCATCACCAAAGTACCGAATTATGTGTACTTTATATGCTAATTTAAGGCCCCAAAAGTATTATATTGTATGGGTGCACGCATGTGTGTTGGCACGTAATAGGGTCAGGAATTTGAACTAGAATTTAATCCTGATGGTATCTGATGGACTACTGGAAGATCTCTTGTTGCAATACTTCTATGCTAGTTTGATATCTACTGCAAAATAGTCTCATAATGGTTTTACTATAGATGTTCAGTAATTGAAAGCCATCTCTTACTTTCTTCAGTAAATTCCATATTTAAAAGGCAAAGTTAATGGAACACTATGAGTTGTTACTTGATTCATATGTTTCAGTTTGCTTTTGAGATATTTATCCTTAGTATTCCAACTTTCCCTTTTTTATAGCCCAGACAAATATGAATGTAACCCATCGCCCAGTGACTCAGATTGCTCCCAGGCTCCCAATACCAAGGAACCCTGGTAACCATCAAGTAGTCTATACTGCTGTTCCTGCACCATCAGGGCAGAATCCTGTGCGAGCCCCTGTTATGCAAAGTCCCGGTTTAAGACAGGTCAATCCACAAAATTCAGGTAAGCAGCTTTTCTAACATACATATATATATTGTGTGAACTCGGAACCCTCTGAGAATTATTCATGAATTCATTCAGACAGGAAGTGCATTACATTCAGAAGGGTGGCTTCACAAATCAGTTTATAAACAGTAAAATCATTGGACACAAGCACATATGAATAAACAAGAGCACACGTATCAGAATTAATTGAAATGAAATGAACATTGAGATAGGTTGAGGGAAAATGTTCATTACACATCTCAAGAAGAGACAGCTTAAAGAAATCCATTTTAAAAGTTTTCTTAAAAGATCTGTACCAAAGTGGGAAAAGAGTTGTGTAGTTTGAGGGTAACCTTTAAATTCAGCTATTGGATGATGATCATCATCATCATCATCAACTTTCTAACCAGCATTTCTATTATGCTTAGTTGATCAAAAAAAAAAAAAGGGTTCAAAACTCCTTTCGGATGTAGGGGATGCTGGTGGTCCGATTCTAAAGTCACTTCCAGATTTTTCAGAAAAATTCAAAACTTTTCAAAACTTCTGAATTGATTTGTTAATGCGAACACGCATGCACAGTAGAAAAAAAAACAGCACTGGCACTGGGGAAACTTCAGGGGATTCTCCCTCCCTTATTTTTAGACCAATGCGGATGTAACTTGCTACAGTGGCAAAACACATGGACCTCTGTTAGCTCAGCAAATTTCATAAACTTTGACTTATCCATGAATTTTTGGCAATTTTTTATAAAAAACATTTTTTTTTGCTAATTGCAGGCAGTGTTTTTTGGTTTTTTTAAAATAATTTTTATTCGTTTATCACATTTATTACATACTATTGCATTTTGTACATCAGCCTCTTTAACATGTTGTTTTATTATTTTGCTTTAACATTTCCCCCCCTTTTCTCTTTTTTTCCTTTTTTCACCACAGTGCTCCCCTCCACCCGTCTCAAGCCACCATTCTTACATTTCATCTGTCCAAAATTTCATTTCTTCTTGTGACGGTAATTTTCCTTCCTTATTTTTTAATCCATTTACCACAAATCTTCCCCCTACAGCATCAAAATCGCTTTGTTTCCATATACCTTTTTTAACCTTTAATATACATGTCAATTTATCGTTTATTGCTATTTTCCATGCTTCCTTATACCACTCCTCTATTTGTATATTCATTTCTTTTTTCCAATTCCTTGCTATGAGCAGTCTTGCTATAGTTAGTAAGTTTGTTATCGCTTCTTTATCCTCCTTTTTCAATTGCTTATTGTTATATAATGATAGTAAGGCTATACTAGGACTTTTGTCTATTTTCATATTCATTATAGCTTCTATTTCTCTAAATACTTTCTCCCAAAAATTATTTACATATTTACATTGCCACCACATGTGTATATATGTTCCTGGTTCTTGACACCCTCTCCAACAATTTATTGAATTATTTTTATTCATATATGCTATTCTTACCGGTGTCAGGTACCACTTCCATATTAACTTGTAATAATTTTCTTTAACTCGTATCGATAGATTTTTTAAATGTCTTTGTCCCCATAACTGTTGCCACTCTGTTTCACTTATTTTTATCCCTAAATCCTCTTCCCAAATCTCCTTAAGGGTACACTTTTTTATTTTTTCATCCTTCATTTCAATTAGTATCTTATACATTTTGCTAATTATACCTCTCAAGTTTTCATGTTCTTCTACAGCCCTTCCCTTCTGTATTATTTGTTCGAATTGATTGAGTTGGCTTCCATTTCTATTTTTTTTCCAGTTCATTAACCATTGTTCTAATTGTATACAATGAAACCATGACAATTTTATTTCTTTAAACTCTTCCAACATTTCCCTCTTCATTTCCACCTTCATCCAATCCCCTATCCTATCTAAATTTATTTCCCTTACCTTTTTATCCATTACTTTTTAAAAAAATTTGGGAACTTCTTTTCCATCACTATTGGGGTTATAATTGATCCCTCCTTTATTAACCTCCCCTTATATTTATTCCATATTTCCAGTATATTACTCAGCATTGGGTTTCTAATTTCCCTCATTTCTTTTCTAGTAAACTGTTTAAAAAATATATTCCAAGTTTCATCTTCCACTTTTCCTGAATCATTACTAAGCCAATCTATTCCCTCTTTTTTAACCATTCCTTCTATAACCAAACTTAATCTACTTGCTTCATAATATTTTTTTATATTAGGTAGCGCTAGTCCACCCTCCTTTTGCGATCTGTACCATAACTGTTTATTTAGTCTATTTCTTTTACTTCCATTACAGTACTTATTAATCGGTTTTTTAATAATAATAAAGAAAATCTGTTCCTCGTTGGGTGGTCTTTACTTTGAAAGTAGTTGTTCTACTCCAGAAACTTTGTTTGTGTCGCACAAACTATGTTAAATTGGTGGAGAACAGAAATCATAGTACAGACCCCATTAAGGGACATCTAGACTGACCCCCTTCTTCCGGGCAAAAACTCTCCTGACATTCATTTGCTTCCTCTACTGAATTGGAGGGGACCCTCAAGACACATCCATCTGTTTATTTCTTTCTGCAGATGCAATCAATCATTTTATTTCATCATTATTAATGGCTGGCGGGCTGGCTGTGGCTGGCTACCCCAGTGCCTTGTTCATGGCAATCAGGCAAAAGTAAAATGATTGGTCTTTAAGCAGTTTATGTTTTCTTGGCTTTGCAAAAGTTGCTTACTGCTTTGCTGCTTTCTTTAGACACATTTGTAGATTCAACCAGTTTAGTTTATATTTAGATGAAGATTGCTACAGACAGCTATTTTTGGGTCTTTCAGCCATTTTCGCTAATGAGCAGGCGAGCATTGTGGGAAATGTAGTTTAACAGCAGGGCCTTTTGCAATCTCTACCATTGGGGCCTAGCCTTCACAAACTACAATTAAAGATGGCTGTGATTAGCTACGCCCACTGCTTCCCTCCTTGCATCGCTGGCAGAAGGCATGAGATTCCCTTGCCTTTACCAAAGTTGCTTAATGGTTGTGAAAATTAAAATAACCTTGGGAGACATCGGAACATTATAGAATATATTCGAAAAAGGTAAGTGGTTCAAATTCAGATCCCCCCCCCCAACCTTTCCTGCATGGTTCAAAACTGCATTGGATGTCTAAATTCGTATGTTATTCCGAATTTCAGTCTTTTCCGAATGAACCTAGTTTCTATCCATTCTGGGTCAGAGCTGTTTCTAACGTTTTTTTTTTAATGTTAAAAATTCCCAAGATACAAAAGTTAAACATAAGATTAACCAAGTTGCTCCATCAGATGAAGGGAATCTATTTACTGAGCTAGTTGCAGATATTTTAAGGATTTTGAAATAATTAATCAGCTCAAAATTAATTGTGTCACTAGTGCAACTGCCACACAGTTGTCCTTCTTTTGGTATCTGTAGGTATGACGGTTCGAGTGCCTCAGACAACAGCATATGTTGTGAACAACGGGCTAACCTTAGGATCTGGGGGGCCCCAGCTCACAGTACATCATCGGCCACCTCAAGTGCATTCAGTGAGTACAACAGCCAAATACATATATTTTCTTGGATTTGTAAGCCATTCTGGGGGCATTTTTGACTGAAGATCAGGATATAAATGCTGTAAATAAATCAAACTGAACTATATACCAGGGTGGATTAATCATTAAACTGATAGGAAAACCACTAGCAATTACTGATAGTAAATTTGTGAATGTTTGAGTGTACATGAAACACACATGTACTCATTTTGTTCATGGTCAACACTGTCTGTCAGCTCTTCATACAGAAGTGTAGTGACATCTTGTCCCTTGACTTTATAAAGGGACTTCGTTATGCATTTGAAAACCTCTGAAGATGCTAGCCACTGATGCAGATGAAATGTTAGGAGAGAATGCTGCTGGAACATGGGCATAGAGCCCAAAAAACTCACAGTAACCCAGTGATTCCAGCCATCAGTTATTACTTGATCATCATCAAATTTTGGCTATAAGAAAGTCTGCCAATTTACAATATGGCTTGCATTTTCTAGTGTACCCTTTGGATTCCACAAGAAATAATCAATGTACATTCAACTCAACTATATTGAAATCAGTTTTCTTTTCACTCTGATTTAATTTATTGTTTGCTTCACTGTGAATTTCCCTCTCCTCATTTTTATTGATAACTCATGTTTTTCTAACATACCAACATTTTAGAAATAGTATTATATTTGTACATATTACTAGCTAGCTACATTTTCAAAGGATCAAAAAACTAGACTCCATGAGAACTTTTTTTTAAAATACCATCTTAGTGTATGATACACATTTTATTGCATTTACAGGATTTTTTTCTAATTTTTATTCATTTGTTTACAAATGTAGGAAAATGCTTTTGTGTACCAGCAGGCATGGCAGTATTGACTTGTTATAGAGCACACCTGTTCAAGGTGGGATGTTGAGGCAACCTTTTCTGCTGCCTTCATTTCTTTTGTTGTCTGTTCCTCAGGAGCCACTGCGGCCTGTGCACCCAGCCCCGCTGCCAGAGGCCCCACAGCCATCACGCTTGCCTCCTGAAGCTGCCAACACCTCTCTGCCTCAGAAGCCACACTTGAAGTTGGCACGTGTGCAAAGTCAGAATGGCATCGTACTCTCCTGGAGTGTTTTGGAAGTGGACCGAAGCTGTGCCAGTGTTGACAGCTATCATCTGTATGCATACCATGAGGACCCCAGTGCCACTGTGCCTTCTCAGTGGAAGAAGATTGGGGAAGTAAAGGCCCTCCCGCTGCCAATGGCATGCACACTGACACAGTTTGTGTCTGGTAGCAAATACTATTTTGCAGTGCGTGCTAAGGACGTCTTTGGGCGCTTTGGACCCTTCTGTGACCCACAATCAACAGATGTCATTGCTTCCCAGAGCAGTTAAACTTGAGACTTTGAAGGCTTCCATTCTTGCTCCTCACCTGTGGCTTACTCTGGTTTTGGGTTTATTCTCATGCATGAAATGTGCTGTAAAATACCATCTTGCAGGATTATTTTGGACAGCTATGTCATACACTACGAAACTTATCTATCCAAAACCAAAATAAATTCCTAGCCTGCAGTTTGGAGAGCCTGTATTGCTGGTGAAATCTTGAAGTACAAAATCTTTACTCCTTCCCTTACAAGCTAGTCTACATGCAAAGTAGAGATCTGATGTTTATCAATGGATTAATCAAGAATCTCAAGCTGTGATACAAAGGCAAAGAAAGTGTTCAGTTGTCAGATTAAGACGGTAAGCCAGGATTCAGGGTCTTGCTGTCTTTTGTTCAGGAACAGTAACCAGTCTTACTTTACAAAGCATCATCTACTTTCTAGAGAGCAAAGGACTTTGTGTGTGGCCAGTTCTTGAAGAATGTATTTGCATCTGCTTATTTGAGCAGAACTGGGGAAGAGTGAACAGTACTACAGCTAGCTCACTGCTCACCACCATAGCCAGGGGCATTCTGAAGTTAGACCAAAAACAGGTTTGTAGAAAACTTTGTTTGAATTTCCAGCCCTCCCCTGACCCTCCTCTTAAGGTCCTTCTCTTTTTTTAAACAAACATTTAATTTGTGCCTTAAACAATAAGTTTGAAAATAAATGCAGCCACACTTTGTGCTTTCCTCCTGCTTTTGCCCTCTTTCCTTCTCTTCTTTTTGCTAGACCCAGAATGTCCTCATCTCTCCTTATAGAGTTTGAAGACACATAGCACCCAGCTTTCTTGGGTTAATTCCCAGTTCATTCCAATCAATATTTTAAGTTCATTGTTCTGAGTAATCTGTGAAAGTAGGTTACAGTTGACAGCTTTTGGCTTGGATCATGTTCTTTCTAGAAGATATAGACCGGTAGCATCAAAGATCTCTTTCTCTTCACTTACACACAAATACTTGAGGTGCTGTGCAAGACCAATTTGACAAAACTCTTAATGAAAGCGATCAGATAAACTCCTGATCTAATATTTACTCCTTTCAGTAGTGGAGTCAAGGCAATAGAATAGTGCCTCTGCCTGGTTTCATCCATCACACCAGGAGATAGTCTCAGAACAAATGCCTAAACCACACCTTTGGACTTTGAACCGTCTTCCAGAGGAAAGTATGGCACATCTGTTGTCATCCTGGCTTATCAGCTCCAATGGTGGGGAAGGCTCTTCTCAAGTGAGTTGAAACTGAAATGGAAGGTGCAAAATGGGGACACACTGATGCTTGTTGGTATTTTGTATTTTGGGAAGACAACATTTACTTCAGTTTCTGTGAGAATATACACTGAGTAAAAATCGTTGCATTTTGCTGTATGGTGCATCTTTTGTCCTTGTCTGCATTGCATTCCATTTGAGCGACACAAAACATCCTCTCTTTAGCTTGCCTGTCTAATGGCTCTAGTTGAGAGAGAGATTTGAACTGGCTGCATTCCTTGCTTGTTTTTTGTGAGGAATACTTTCAATCTCAAGCAGTAAGTAGACAGGAGACATTGCAGTGGTTTGCCTCTTTCTGAATAAAGGCATTTGCTTTTTTGCAACCAATGTAAGCAACCAATGAGATAAGTAATATGGCCACTGTAAAGATCAATTTTTCCTTAGTTTGGGAGGACTTTCAATACCAGAATTATTTTTTAAAAAATACAATTCTAAAATAAAATGCTTGGCATTAGAAGCACATAAAATATGGTGTATTTTGAGTTTGAAGAGATTAAAACAAAGGGCATTCCACTCTGTTGTTGACCTCAGCAATCTCTGTTATATGTATCCAAAGGCGTTATATTGTCTGCATTGGAAGAAAGTGACTATTCCTCTTACATTTTATTGCACTCAGAAAATAAAATCAACCCTGAATGCAGTTAGAAAGGAAAGTGGTTTTTAAAGGCTGCATAAGTAACTCATTTTGTAGTGGAGTACATAGGACAATTAAAAAAAATTAATTTTCCATGAAACTGAAATAAATTATATTTGCTAAATATACCTAGAAAAAACGTAAATTTGGGAAATGTACATCTACATGTTTAGTGTTTTACCTGAGAGAGAGCAAGCAGGTATTAACAGTTAAAGCTTCACTTTATTGGTTTTTATGACACCATTCTTCTTTGAATCAAATGAATGTAGGGCAGGTGCAACTACATTAAAAAAAAGTTAAATAAGGACATAGTTTTGTCTTCAGATTTCTGAACTAAAGAGGGAAGTACACTTTCTGGAATGGAATGGGAGAACTCACACTTTTGCAACTTTACAATCTTGTATTTGATGCCATATTTCTTAATTTTTGCCCAAAAGCAGAAGTCTGAGTTCATCTGGCTAAGAACAGGTATTTGAAAATAGTATTTTCTTTCTCTCTATAAGTATTCTAAACTAAACTGGCTTTCATAATACAGAAGTGGAAGCAGAATTGATTTTTACTAGTTTTTGCTCATTTAAAATCATACATCCTACTCAGCACTTTGAATATATTATTAATTAGGAAGGAACGGCTTATGATTTTTAAAAAAATCTTGAAAAAGGAGTTCAGGGAGAGATTTCAGTGTCTACATTGAACTGTACCAGTATTTGTTTTTTCCCACCATACTATGCTTTTACTATAGTATATGGTGGGCACATGCTTGAAAAATCTGTTTTCTACTGTTGTCAGGCTGCTTTTACATGCAAAACAGTTTGTTCTTTCAACCCAAATTACATTATTGTTTTACTCTTTATATTTAATATGTTAGATTCCATCTTCTGGTTCAAAAGAATTTCTATTTAAGAGGAAAAGATAAAAGCAGAAAGTGTTTTATATTCAAAAGGAGAATGCGGAGGGACAGTTACTGGTGCATTTAAATTTCCTTGTAGTTTCTGATTCTTAAGGTATAGCCAGAAATCCTGTACTGGAAGTCATATGTCGTATTGTATGTCAAGAACTGTTGAAGTATCAAGGCTAATTTAAGGGTGACTATTCAAACATTTTGTTAGAGCTATAATTTGCAAACAGTTCAAAGAAAAAAAAATAACATAACTGTTGACTTTGAGAGCATGAGGAAAGATTGTGAGATTACAACTTTTGTAGTGAAAGCATTTACTCTGGCTCACTCTTTCATGCATAACGCTTTGTCTAAGAGAATCAGTGTTCCAGTGTGTCATTAGCTTTAAACCTGGGTCTCAGAGCGGCCACATTAACGATGTTAGAACTGCAACTGCAATACATAATGAAGCTGGGAAAATGACCCCTTAGAATGCCTTTATTATTCTGAGTCAGAGGCAAAAGTACACAGGTATTTGTATATGACAACTTGATTCTTTAAAGATACTTCTCTTTTTCCCTTTGGGGTGTATGAATATGAAAACGGTACTAAAGTTTTGGCATCACAAAGGAGGTTCTTGTATTGCCACAAACAAGTTATTCCATCGTTCCTGTAACTAGTTTCATGTTAAGAAGAGTAAAATGTACAAGTAGGTAAAATATAAATTATAATGTGTTTGATCAATATTTGACAACACACTGATAGATTTCTTACTGAACTGTGCTGGCATTTTCCTGTTTAAAAATATATTTTAAATGCTGTCTGCCCTGGAAATTTTATCTGTAAATAAAGTGATCAGGCAGCCAGATCTTGGGCTACCTGCTGAACTTGTTAACTTATCAGCCATTGTAAACTCCTACAAACCCCTTTCTATAAACTTGCACTCTTTTTTCCTTTTTCTCCAGATGTGAACATGTAAATAAAGATGAAGTGTGACATACCAAGAAGTCCGGTATAAGCAGGGCAATGACAAGTTCTCCTAACTTTTGTATGCATTGTAGATTAGTGTCTGTATACGTGTTACTTGTAGTGGATTTTTGTCTGACAAGCCTGAGATTTATACTTTGAAATAAACTACTGGGTTTTTAACCTCTGGAGTTTCACGTAGTTGGTTCCGATCAGCAAGAAAGTCTGGTGGTTTTCGTCCATGATTTTTATAGCACATGCATATGTAATACAAGCTGGGTACACACATTCAATGTTTCATACAAAAGAACTTTATACCGGTTGCTTTGGAGAAATTGCATCTGTATGCTAAATAGAATTAACTGGATCCAGCTTCAAGGTCATACATTCTGATTGACTGAAGTGGATTTCTTTGCTCCATAGCAACTCTTCTAACTTTTTCCTGAGGCTACACAGGAAATACTTTGGTAATCAGCTAGCTGCTGTGAGGGGTTTGATGTGGTGATAAATACTTTGTACACTGATATAATATGAAAAAGTAAGACCACGGATATATATGGGAATTGACTGACAGATGTGAAAAGTTTGCTGGCATGCATATGTATGAAGATAAGCTGAGAGATCAACAAGAGGATGAATGGTGTGATTTGAAGGAGTTTCTTGTGTATTCTCCAGTACACGTTTACCAGTATTTGTGAGAATCTCTACAAATGTTCATTACTGATTTTTACCCAACTATAAGAAGCATCTCTAAGCCAGGATACAGCTCAAGGGCACAGCTGTACTTTGGTAGAATGAATACAAATATGCTTGTGTGAATTGATGACTTGTGAGCCTTCTACTGCTACTAGGGGTTGTGATATACTACAACTACTACTACTAATAATAATTAATACACTTTATTTGTACCCCCGCCCCATCTCCCCAAGGGACTTCGGGTGGCTCACAACATGAATACATACAGTACAATACATTGAAGTAATATAAAACAAACAAGATAAACCAAAGCATGAGTAAACAGCAATTTACAATAAAAATTTAAAATTATAAAACATAGGTTTAAAACACCATCATTCCTATTGAGGCTTAGTACTAACCTTCGAGGACCCCAGGCCCAAATGATGGCAAGCAGAGCTATAGGTAATTCTGCTGCCATCACTTGCACAATAGAAAACTTAAGTTGCAATGCTGATACTCCACTCCTTGTGTTATATTTACTGTCTCCCTCCCCATCCTGGCTTTTTGGTATACTGACATTGCACTAACAACAACAACGCTTCATTTATATTCTGCCCTTCTCGATGGGACTCAGAGCGGATTACAATAAAAACAGATACCGGCAAACATTCAATGCCTTGTGACAAAACAATGAGAGACACAACAAAGGCTTTTCCTTTCATTTCCGAATTTAGAGGTGGTGCTCATCTCTGGCTCTGGAGGAGGTGCTATTCTCCACTTCCAAGCCGAGGAAGCCTGTGTTGCCCTCTCCCGGTTGTGTGACCAGCATGACTACTTGGAGTGTCTTCTGCCTTTCCTGCTGAAGTGGTACCTATTTATCTACTCACATTTGCATGTTTTCAAACTGCTAGGTTGGCAGGAGCTAGGGCTAGCAAAGGGTGCTCACCCCGTCCCATGGATTCAAACTGCCAACCTTCAGCTCAGCAGTTCAGCAGCACAAGGGTTTAACCCATTGCACCACCACAGTGGGTTAGATAGATAGATAGATAGATAGATAGATAGATAGATAGATAGATAGATAGATGAGTACAATCTATATATAGAAAAGCAAAGTACTCTACTCAAATATAATGCTCACCTCTTTTGGCTAAATTATCTTGCCCAAATTAGGATGCACATTATATTTGCATAATATGGTAATCTTAGTGCTGAGTCAAAGCAAAAGGAGAAGCTGCTTCAGAAGCATCTGGAACTACTATTTGAGGAATGTCATTTTAATTACATTTTTGTAATTAAAAATACCTAGTTAATTTTTATTATTTCTGACAATTTCAGCCAGTGCTCTTTAACTTATGACAAATATGTTGTCTTTCGTTCAAGGACACTAGCTTTGAGACAACTCAGCATATCGTCATCCCCTCTTGCTATGTTCCTGGTGTCCCAATGGTCTGCAATGAACACCTAGAGAGACATTGAAAAGGCAAGGAGTAGCTCTAGAATTTGCCTTTCACTTTCCCATGACAAATGATCCGGCCGCATGAACAATGGCTTTGTGCCATCATCAGTTATCAGCAGAACAGAGCAGGTCTCTCACGCATGGTCCCTGCATGACTCAGTTCTGAGAGTATGCCAGCTCAGTCTCTCTGTTTGGTGAGTAATTGATGGGAACACAAAAATGTAGCATCCGGCACTTGTCCAGTGGATGCCAGCCAAAGATTTTTAGCGTACAGTTGTCTTACTGTAATTTTTTCTAATTTTTATTCATACAATTCCAAGAATAGTAATAGTGGCAGCATTGTGAAATCTATATGCACAACATTTTGTAAGAGTTTAAAGTGGTAATATTAGGAAGCTGACGTATACACAGTGTGGTTTTGTTTTTTTATTTTTCTGATCAAGCTTTGGGTTACCCTAAGATTGATTAAGGTAAGGTTCGCTAAGCTTATCTGAAAGATAGCTTCCCCATCTCACATCATCTTTTACAAACCCTAACTGTACAGGAATATTTGGTGTAACTTAAAAGTGCCTTCCACACCAAATGTAGAAACAGTAAAAAGGAGGGACATGTGAGTGCAATTTGCTGGCCAACTTGCTTCTTATCATCCAATTAACTGACTTCAGACACAGTTTTTTCTGCTTCAGTAGCGGCTCTTTATTTACATTTCATTCATTGCAATAACACCCATTAGCATGGTCATATGAAAGGGGGAAGAGCCAAGAGAAAGAACAAAATGGTGCCTGCTATATTTATACTGTTATCAGCTCATTAATTCAGCGTCCAACCTCCTAGTCTATTGCAACATCTTCCTTGTCTGTTCCACGCATGCTTCATTACGGTCCACAACTTTACTCTTTCACAGCTAGCAGCATGGACATTTTAAACTTGTACAACATATATATATCGACATTACTCTGATAGTGCAGGCTATCTGCCTTCAGTGTCTTTAAAAGTAATTACATAGGGCTACAGCAGTGTTCAGACAGGATTCTGGATTTAAACGTTGGTTTCCTAAATATAACTGAAAATACCTATCAATGAAATCTACCATATTATCTATCAATGAAATCTCATTGGCAATATTGAGAGAAGCATAACCTCATGAGTCTGTTATAAAAAAATGATGTGCTACCTCAACGACTTGGGGTTTCAATTCAAATGTTGGTTCCAACTTAAGTAGGTGAATTAAAGCAAGGCTGCACTTGCATTATGCATAGTTCCATATGTAGAATCTTGTCCTCCTTGGTTTCTGAAAGCAAGTCAGTAAGATGAATGAATATCATGTTGCAAAAAAAGTTTCTGTCCTACCAAAAGAAATTATTTTTAAAAGTTCCTAAAACCTGAACTTTAAAAAAAAAAGGAAGAGCCTCCTTCAATTCCACCATTTTTTATTGACCAGTCTTTTTTGAGAAATATTCTGGAGCATGTGATACAGAGGTTTCCGGGTGATATGGGTTATTTAGAATTTGGGACATTGTTGTGCAGTGGTTTCGGTCTTTCCTGGCTGGGATGAACTCAAAAAATTGTGCCTGAGGGCTTCTCTGAAGTCCTGGCTATTGGCCTGTGAGGGTCTTCCTTCTGGGTTCTGTTTTATTCCCCATGTTGTTTAACAGCATGAAACCCTGGGAGAGTAATCTGGAACTCTCTCCCCAGTTTGCCACGGTGTTTCTGGCCACAATTCCAAGTGCTAGTTCAACCTAAAAAGCCCTAGACAACTTGGGCTTAGGTTATTTCTGTTGGAATTCAACCCCACACTGCCCAAGTCTCTAGTCTTGAATGAGGAACAAGTTAGTTAGCTTAGAATAGGCTGAGGGTTTCTTTTTCCCCCATGTCTCCTGTAGGACAGTTAGAATATATCTAATTTCTTCTCTCCTGTTTCTACTCTCATTCTGATTGGTTATGTAGAATGGACACTTTTCTAATGCAAGCCTTTATTTCTGACTTCTACTTTTACTTCTTAGTATGCTGTGTGATTTGAGATCTCTAATACAATAACAGACTCATAGAGTTGGAAGAGACCTCGTGGGCCTTCCAGTCCAACCCCCTGCCAAGAAGCAGGAAAATTGCATTCAAAGCACCCTCGACAAATGGCCATCCAGCCTCTGTTTAAAAACCTCCAAAGAAGGAGCCTCCACCAAACTCTAGGGCAGAAAGTTCCACTGTTGAACAGCAATCACAGTCAGGAAGTTATTCTCTCTGCTTTGTGTAGTGATTGATTTTTCCCCTCTCTTTAAAACCTTAGAAGAGATGGTTTTTAGAGTAGCTCAGATCCAATTCTTAACTATTAGAGAAATTTAGTTATTTTTATTGTAATTAAACCTGATGTTATTTTTAAAACAGGACTCTGCATCTCTTGCCTGCCTAAGCTCTAAATTCTTTATAGCCACAGCACCCGGCACTTCACGCTCTGTGAGCTGATTGTTCAACTTTTAGTATCCTGTTTGTATTTCGGATGCTCTGCTATGTTTTTGGGGTAGTTTCCCCAAACAATTTGAAGGAACATCTCTCTCTTTATGATCCTGTTAGAACACTACAAGAATTGAAGATGGCCTTTCAGTCTCACCACATTCTCAAGCTTGTTTGGTGGGAACGGGGGGGGGGGGGGGGTTCTTTTTTTGGTGGCTGCTCCCAAGCCCCTCTAAGGAGGCCAGGATGGCCCTGTCCCTGGTCTCCTTTTATAGGCAGGTAAAATGATCCTCTGCAATTGGGCATTTGTGGACAGATGAGAGGCAGGTTCTTGGAACAGTGCAATTGGAATTTGGGAATGGAGTTTTAATGCATTTTAACATTTAATGTTCAATGATTTAAATAATACACATTGGTTTTTAAAAAAAAATATTTTAATGCATTTACATTGTTTTAATTTGGGCTTTCTAATTGGCTTTTGGAGCTGCCTTGGTTCCCATACAAGTGAAGTACTATACATACATATGTGTCATTCTCTTGGTTTTATGGGTCTCCTCACTTGAGATACAGGCCTAGCAGAGTGCTGACAGTATGATAAATG